TGGAGTCGTCGAGGGAAATAATCAATCGTACTTTTCGATCTCGCCAATGATTTGTATACACCAAACCCCCGCGTGCATTTGCATAAGAATATTTCGTTGTCACCGAGATGCAAACCGCGGCGCACAATGTTTTTTTCCTCGCCGCCGTTACCGTTCGAAAAGTAATTTCGTTTGACGTCTCTCTCCCCTCGGTATTTATTTTAAAGGACGCGTATGAATATCCAATGCAATCCTTTGCCATCGAGAGGATAGTTGCGTACGTGCGGGTGAATCGAGTTTTAATCCCGTTGCGTCAGTAAAACCCCCCTTTGCCGGGATTAATAATCACCGTGGTTGCATGCCTCAAAGCCGATTGATCGCATAACGCTACGCAGCTCCAACTAATGTCACCTGATAATCTATTTACGGCCTGTTTCGCTTTTCTGCGACACACTACCTGGCGATTGAAAAACGAAAGCGTAATCAAAAGGAAGATAAGGGAAATGCATATTTCCCGTTGATATTCTATCTGCTGACAGTTGCGGTCCCTCGATCGTGCATAAAAAAAAAAAGAAATCGATCGCACCAGGAGAAGAAAACGTCTCATGTTTCTTACGTTTCACGGCAATTGTTGAAAATTTTGTCTCGAAATTGAATTGAGAAAAATGACAAAAATAGTCTGCGATTATCGTTTGTTCTCATGTCGCGCGAATTAAGCTTTTACATATGCATTTCGTGATTCTACGCTCGCGTGCTAAAAAATCTCTGTAAAATCGTTCAGCTAAACATGCGAAATAGGAGGATCCGCATCGCGGATTTTTTTTTTCAAACCCTGTTACTTTGTGTGCTATTCGTACCGCAACATCCAGATCCGTTCTAAAAAAAATCTGCAACGTGAATCAAGAGATGGCTACGTATCGGTCGTATCCGAGCTAAAAAAAAAAACAAATGAGAAGTTGACGTTTCAATTCAATGTATGTACGCGCTGCGTTTCCGAAGGGAAAACAAAAACATAGGAAAAATAAGGACAGTGTATAAATTCAATAAAAATAATCCAGTGGCGATTAAAACCTCCATGACAGAAACGTGACAATATAGCAGTTCACTGCGCGTTCCCTGAATAAATAAAAGACCTGGCATTTCAATTATCGCGCTTGATCATTTCGAGTAGGACAAACGAATAGGCCGCGGCTCTCCGGGCGAACTTTTCGAATGCAAATCTGCGAACCATTCACCCGTATGACAATCCTTCGTTAGGAGAAATCTCAGGATGCGGGAGGGAGGAGGCACGCGAGTTTCGATTCGTATAACAAAATTCTTCCTTCTCTCCCTCTGCTCTCCGAGTAGTAAAGTTTCCAGATGTCTCCCGGACGCGGTAAACTATCGAGGTGGATCACGGGCTTCTCTCTTCCCAGGGAGTCGCGAAAAATCTTTACGATCAGCGACCCCAGCGGTCGCTTCCCACGATTCTACATCGCTGATTGCTTTACGGTCTTTCGACGTTCGCGACGTTCACCCTTCTCGACATCGATGCATATCCGGTGCGCCTCATTCGATTATGTCCCACCCCCCCTCCCCGCGCGTCTTGCGGCGTTATCGCGTATAAAACTGACTAGTGCAATCCAATTATCGTCATGACGGTCAGGACGGATCCCACCCCGCGCGCGGACAGATTTTATTCAGCTTTGATACGCTACGAACGTCGCCGTCCGCGCCGTCGAGCTTTTATTCGAGCCGGTTTCAACCGGCTGGAAAAGATTACTGTATAAAGAAAGTGATGCGATATCGTACGATAGGGAGTTCAGATGCGAATCGAAGTGTTTATTCGTGCAGTCACACTCGTATTTTAATGTAAAGAGATCGATGTAAACGTGAGCTCTTTCTCTTTATTTAAATCATTGAAACAAAAAAAAGATTCTGCGCAATGGATTTATTAAATATACGTACAGGTACATGTTGGTAGAATCGTGGATACATGTAATATGCATTTATTACACGTAGTGTAATAAAAACATAAAATATTGCACTTGGAAATATTGGCAAAGGCATTTGTGAAATAATTCACCGTAATTCGGCGTTTTCTACTATTTGTATCTTTTTATCTGTTATATTCGAGCTGTTTAATTAGTACTCTGAAGCATAGCTTTCCTTTCAGCCGATTTTTCTGAAACTTAATACTTAAGGGTTTTCTGGGTCGTTCATTCTGGTGTCAGAAAATTCAAATGCAGATTTTCGGGCGCCATGTTGGATCCGCCATTATGAATTTTGTAAATCTGACCTCATATGTGCAACCGGCAACTTGAAAAACTCCCGAGTACCGAGTTCCAGATAAATCGACTGCATTTCTTGCAATTTTGACTCTTTATGTTGGACTTTAGATTAGAAATCAGTGATCTCAAAGACTCCCAGACACCTAGTTCCGGAATGTCGTTTGTGGGAATAATTTTGTGACTACAGAATATCTTATAGAAAACAAAAGTTTTTAATTAAAACTTTAACTTTGTGCTGCTGCATTGAGTGAATCGTCGAGATAATTTTAGAATTTCGACCCGAGACTCTGAATTAGCAAATCAAAAGCCTTTTAGATATGAAGTAGCAAAGACAACGGAGTGAAAGAAGTGTTTTTTTATAAATTTCGGGAGGTGTAACGTATACGTTACACCGTGCTTCAAAGGGTTAAGTAACTTTTAATGAGCGATACGTTATCGTGTCGCAAATTACTATCGTGTCTGCAGCGAATAACAAGCAATGCGGAAATTGGCGACACGTCACTATTACTCTGTTTTTTTGCGCTTCCTCCAAGAGAAAAAGCACTCCATACCGATCCAATTAGACGCCACGATCTTCTTCGCTGATTCGACTCGTCTCAGAGAGTAGAAATTTGCTGAAAGCTGAAGTCTAAAGTCACGCGGATATTGCGCGTCATAGTTAGCCACTTTGCCGAGGAATGATTACTCCCTTTCGACCATCCCACGCCTTTTTACCTCGTACATACCCTCGAGGTACCCGAGGATGGAAGACGGTTGCAAACTCAAGTTAACCGATAATTCGCCGTTAAAACATCAACACGTGGTACTTAGCACGAGGACCAATTATCTTTCTTAAAAGTGAATCCTTATGCTTTCACCTCTGTAATTAGATGAATTTCGATTTTGTCTCGCAATTTTGGTTATCTATCCGAAGTTGCAATCTCCAAAGTGTGGAATGTAGCCTTCTAATTGCAATAACATTAAATTTGAGATTGAAACCGGCGTTTCACGTCTCCGCCGTAGAAATATTGGTTTCAGATTATCGGCAAGCACGCTCCTGGAATTCTCGATATAAATCTTCTCGCTCGCATACCTAATGGAAAAATCGATACGTGCCTCTGACGATACCAACTGTTAGTTTTAATATCTCGTAGTAATATCAGCGTGATAAAGAACGATGCTCACGGCAAATTCACCAAGATGTCATAAATTTACGGCGCCGCTCGCACGTCTTCTCCTTCGAGGCGACGTCTGACGTAGTCCGGGGTGGTAAGTGCCGAGGGTGGCACCGGCTATATCGCGGCTTCTAATTTCCACCGGCGACCTTGGGCAAAGAAATCGTAAATTTCTCACGCCCACGGGTTCTACCTGGGCGTGGCAGGCGTGACGAGAGGAGGCAGATAGAGCCCAGCCGACGGGAGATGGGAATTTTTCCTCGAGAATCGAAAGCCGTTTTCGCGTCGCGCGGTACCCCGACGGCGATCATTTGTCCCCGAGACGTCGCGCTGTCTAAAAAAAAAGTCGCATATTTTTCGTGACTCTTTCTTTCACTCTCGTCGCCGCGAAATCGCAAAAGGGCTTCTCTTAATCCTGAATAGAGAGATATGTCGTCGGAAGAGTTTTGTTCTCAAGCAGAGAAAACTCGATGGCGTTACTTGAGCAGTAGAGCGAATTGTGAGTCCTGATTTTTTTTCAATCTTGTCTTCGCGGCAGAGCGTAATGGAAATCGAAAAAGAATGTAACAATTATAAAAACTGTTCGCTCTGTAGTCCGCGTCGCAGTATGACGCGCTATTTTCAACTTTTTACTTGATTAGACGAATAAAAGTCGGAGTCAGTCGCTTAGCGTTTGAATCGCGACGGGACTTTTAGGTTCCAATTTTGCTGTTTAGTTGTCACGATAAATGCATTTCACTTCGTGCATAACCACGTACATTTCCGGCACGGCAGCGGTTGCGGCGCAACCCGTACTTTGCGTACCGTTGTCGAGGAAAGCCCACGTACCCTGTAATCAGAACACTTTCGCTTCGCCAAGTCAAAAGCAATAAATACATTTTGAATCTTGACACAGGCGCGCATCCCCCTTTGGTAACGTGCACGTTTACTTGCAATTTCGTTGATCCTTACTGTAATGTTGTTTCCATCGATGAAACCATCGCAAACCTCCACGTGCAATATTTTTTTCTTTCACAAATTTATTCGCTTTTAATTTCAACCTACAACATTAAAATTTAATTTTGATCTTAAGCTCAATTAAGAATCCGCAATTAAAAATTGAAAACAGATTGTATAGTACATGCATAGGAAGAAAAGGAATGCAGTTAAATTTTTACGAAGGACAGTTGTTATTTTTAAACGCTTCGCTAATCGCTCGGCTGAAATTCGATTATTTCCTATTAGAATCATAAATTTGATGAAGCCTGGCTATTGTATGCGATAATATCATTTTCATTGCCAAAAGTTAACACTCGATCTATCCGAGCAAGATAAATTTATTCATTTTTTATTTTAATCTGCAACATTGAAGTCTAATTTTGATCTTAAACTCAATTAAGAATCCGCGACTACAAATTGAAACAGAAGAAACATAAGAAGAAAAGGAATGCAGCTAAATTTTTATGAAGGACAGTTGTTATTTTTAAACGCTTCGTTAATCGCTCGGCTAAAATTAGATTATTTTCTGTTAGAATCATAAATTTGATGAAGCTTGGCCATTGTGTGCGATAATATCGTTTTCATTGGCGAAAATTAACACTCGATCTCTCTGTCGCAGGATGGACCATGAGGAAACGCGGTGCCGGCTGGTACTAGACGAGCGGTCGGCCACGCTTGCACCCTATCGTCGGTCGTCGTTGTCGACGGGTTCCCGGTACGTCCAATCCCGAAGCAAGCGGCAGGTGTCGCGTGTGACAGCAGACACGAGCTCGATAGGTGCGATAATCGGGGGTGGCCCGGTCGTTGCCGCCGCCGGGCCGGCGATGCGACGATGAGCTCGCCGAGGGTGCTGCTACCCCTCCACACCCGACCAAAGGTGAGACGGGCTTGAACTTTCCGCTCGAGTATCATTAACCTTAGGTGCATATCTCTCCTTTTTTTTTAATAGAGATTTCCTTTGGATATTCAGCTGTCAATTATTTTTGCGATTTATATGCGACGTTTCGTTTTTGGTACAAGCGCTTTCTCGAAAGGATAAGTAATTGACCTTCTATCTTTCAACGCGACATCGCTCTGCCTTTAGATAATTTCCAGTTTATTAGATTCTTTCGTTGACACTTTAGATGATTCAAGAAAATTACGTACAACAGTTTTAATTGAATTATGTCGCTGAAAAATGGTTTTAAAAATGAGAAAGCGTATACTCCAAGTATATATAAAGATGTTAAAGTTATTTTTAGATTGATAAATATTTCGGAATATTGATACGTTGGGTGGTTGAAAGTAGTTTTGTTTCATTTTTGCGAAAATTAAGTTATCGGATAAGTTATCACTTTTTATCTCGCGCGGCGCGTAGAGGCTATCTCGTGTAAGATGGAACGCCGCGTTGATTATACATGAAACTTTAAACCGAGCAACCTTGAGATATTATTGACATCGCGTATCTGATTGATCTCTTTATTCTTTCGAATTCTGCGTAATAAGGGGAAAGTAACGAAACGTATAGTCACGAGTGCGAAAACGCTGGTGTACGAGGTAACATTTGCGTCTTCTTCGTGCCCAGCGGGCGCTACGTACGCGACAAGCAGGCGGGAGAAGGTTGTTAATGCGAGTGGCGACAGTTTCGTGCCTAAGCCTCTCACCTTTGTGCCCCGACAGCCCCGCGTAATAGCAAGGCCGGGTAGTCTCGAAAACTACATCAACGAGGCCGAGCGACGAGGAGCGGCAGGCGGTTCAAGGCCGAAACTATCCGCGTGGCCATGGACCACGAGACGAAGAACGGAACCGGCAGCAACGACAACGAGGAGTGCACTAATATTTACTTCATCGTCGGCGACCGCAGGGAGACGGCCACTTACAAGGCGAATCAGGTCACGGACATGGAACTCAAGGGTGAGTGGGAAAGTTTTATTGCTTCGTTGGCGAAAAGTTCCATCGACTTTTCTGTCATTCTCGAGCGAACTTTTTCATTTATTTAACGCGGCGTTCACGAAACACTCGTGCGTGTCAAGAAGGTGCGCGTATGCTGCGCGCGGTGAGAGCGACCAACTTAGCTTCCGTAAAGGAAATCGCAAGGAGTATTTAGTTTGATCCAATCAGACAGTTGGGTAGAAAAATACATTTTCCGCCCTTATCAGAGCACGTAATTATATATAGACATTTTACGGAGATCGTTAGCAAATTAAATAACCTTTTAATATACATGCAGTAATAATTGATATCACGGAGCGGGAGCGATAAAAATGCGCAATTACCTCGCGATAACGCTGTAAAAAGCTATTATAACGTTCATTGTGCGCGTGAAAATATTAGAAACTTAACCAGAGTTTTTAAGTCGGATACACTGCAGCTAATTAAAACATTTTGAAGACGTCTCCAGCTTTCGGAGACTCGGGATTATTGTCCTCGCTATCTACATCTGGATACAGTTAACGCCTGAGAGTTTTTGTCATCATTAAAGCTCGGCAGATCCGAGCGTGATACAATGAGATTCATTGCCGATTCAGGAGTATTCAATTTATCAGCGGTCCCACTGAATTGCGAGGGAAAGAGGCATTAACGCGAAAGTTAGCCGTTCATTAATCTTTCGACGAGAGAGATATATTTTATCCGGGCCGAATATCTCACGCCGGCGAACACTTCTACCCTATACGCTCTGCGTCTCCAACTTTTCACTCGGGCTTTATGGCCGCCGCGCGAAAGTGTACTTCGCGGATAAAAGCGCGAGAAGCTTCCTCTCCCGTCAATGGTATCGGAAGGCGGGCGAATATTTGACGTTCGTCGGATTTAATCAATTATCGATCGTGACGTTACGAGACGCGATGCGACGCGACGCGAAGCGACGCGACACGCGAGCCAGCCAAGCCAGCCAAGTCAAGCCAAGCCAATCCCGCGAAACGAGACGCTGTACGCTTTTGCCCGTCGTCCGATATGAAAAGCTTTCCCTTCGAAGCACTACCGAAATTATGTTTGCACACACTTCACCTTCGTGCCGTGACCTATCGACCGGACCGCCGCGCCGCGCCGCGCCGCGCCGTTCCTCTCGGCTCGGTCGAGTGGCTAACCGAGCCGGCGCCCCTTACAACCGCCCTCCTCCCGTCCAGAGGGGTAAAATGACACGAGCACGCACTTGTGCCGCAACTCGTCCCGACTCTTTCAACCCTTTCACGACTGGGATAATTTTCTCGATTTTCAGAGAAGCGACGACGATCTCGAGAGCGCGCAGGAGCAGCTAGATTGAAAATTTTTTATCCCTTCCGCCCTTTTTGGTACTCGACTCTTCATATTTGACCTAATTTCGATTTCTTTTCCATCTGGTTTTTTTGCTCGCTTCTCCGTTTTTTTCCCCCGGTCGACGTAGTTTCTCCCTTTCCGCCACTTTATGGCATACTGTATTACTATACCACTTTTCGCTTTGCTGCAATGCGCATTATACTTTATAATATGTATATTGTAGTATATTATACTGTAGTTTTATTATACCTTTCGTATTGTTACTGCGGTGCGCATCAAAATTTTATTTACATAGTAACATTATTTACATAGCAGCACAATGGATTTCTCGTTCAGCTTTCGGGTAATTTGAAGCATTGTTTAATTAGCCTCTGCGTTTACGTATTGCTTCATTTCATTATTTATCTACGTACTGTAACGCTAGCTGCAAAGCGCGTTCGAAGCGAAAAATTCTTCTAAACGATCGTGAACCTCGATGAATCAATTTCAGCTGCTCTGCAATGCGATTCGTTCTTAGCAGCATTGAAACTCTCGCGTCTGGGCCGAAAGCATAGTTTAATGACTTAATTAAGTTCGTTAGCGTAGATTATTCGTAGATGATGCGCTAATCAATTACTATTCCCGTTGGAAATCAACACGCTGTCAGAAATAGAATATTTCAATTTTCGAAATGTCGGCCGGTAATTAGCCGCGCGTGCCTAATGCTAATATTATCAGGTAATTATTACAGTAAAATAGTGTGATTACGGTCGATAAGCGATGGTATCGTACGCGAATTTAACGGTGTGTTACTTATACGAGGCTTTTAGTTAATTAAAATTCTAATGCAATTACAACAGGTGTACAACCTTGTACGCCTGTTAAGGGAAACGGCTTTGTCAGCAATGATGTTACCAGCGCCGTTACACGACGGTACAAAGTCATATTACAACATGGACAAGTTTCGTCAACGTGGGCCTTATCGCACGGGATCATCTCCGATCCGTTGCGTTGGCCTAGAACCGAGAGCTTTCCGATCCCTTTAACTTCCCTGTTTAACGCCCGAGAGGACCGCGCGACACGTTAACCCGTGATTTTTCCCTTAAAATTTCAGAGCTCGTCAATCAAGATTGACGCGCGCAAGCTCCATCGGCAAAAATGGCAAATTTTTCTCCGTTCTATCGATCACGCGGATAAAATCCGTAAGAACCCGAGTCGAGTATCTGGTTTCGGGATGGGCCTCAATTATTCTATTCTGTCTTCATGTGGATCTCGGAGTCGGTTTGACACTCCAATTTGAGGCCCCGATGAGTAAGAAAAATTGTGTTTAAACTCATTCTAATCGTCAAAGGGAATGTAATAAAATATTTCACCCTCTTGGAAGCCTCTAGGCCGAAGAGGATCTACCGAACCTCTGTTGTTTACACTCGCATTGGCCTCTTTGCTGCTAACAGCGACTCTTTTCAGGCCTATCCGAGATCAAAAATTCAATGTATTTTCTTCGACACAAAGACCTTAGTTCGACCTTTTTCCCAATTCAAAAATTACACGAGGCTAAACTCAGACCAAAATATTCGACTCGGGAAGAAGGGCGATCGTTTTAATTCACAGATTAAGACCCGGTTTTTCATTTTCTGGTTAATTGTTAACCAGAGGTTAGCCGACTCTCCGTCTCTTCTCTATATTCAAGACTGTCTCAAGATTATCCTTAGATACTCCGCAGCCAATGAAATGTTCCGTACAGCATCCTTAGGTAAATTCATGTCGGTCTTGAATATAAGATCCGACTAAAATACCGGCCGGAGGGTCGACTAACTTCTGGTTAACAGTTAACCAGGAAATGAAAAACCGGGCCTAAGGGCCAGTTTCACAAACGTCAGTTAACAGCTAACCGAAGATTAATTGATTCTCTGTTTCTTCTTAGATAAGGTAGAAAAAGATAGGGAGTTGACTGAACTCTCGTTAACAGTTAACCAGCGTTTGTGAAATTGGCCCTAAGAGGATAATGAACCGAGGGAGACACAATACGCGCACGTATCTGTCCGTGGCGGTTTCTCAGTAAATTTGAATGCCGATGTCGGGGAAATTGAGCTCGTCGTTTGTATGCGATCGATTTCACGTGTAGATTTTAAGAACGTAATATCACGTTAATTACCTCGTGCAGCCTTGTGTTTTTCCAAGATTATTACATGCCACCGATGTTACGATCGTTGTTACGACGGTCATATCCTTCCTCCCCAGGGCACTATAGGTTCTCACGTTCTTCCACCCTGGTCGACTGGCCGTGGAACACACTCCGCTCGTCGTCCTCGTTCCCTCACAGTCGCTTCCACTTAACTAAAAAGCCTTTTAACGAGGCCGACTCCGCGAAAAATGTGCCGCGAGGATGCTACGCAGCCGATCGATATCTCGTCACGGGGGCTCGGAATCGAAGCTCCGCTTTCCGCCGGGAATGAGAATTTCTCGACGCCTTAGGAAGTATAGAAAATGCACGCGTCTCCCTTGATACGGCAACAAGGCTTTTCCGATAATTATTCATCGGGCTATGCCGGCAAACGTAGACGGCTCTGCAAGAAAAAAGAAGGGAGAGAAAAAAATACGACGTTGCGCGAGGGTATTCGTAACAAAAATAAAGAAAAGTTGTCGTTTTGGCGGAAACTTTTTGCTTTTCGGCATGTTGAAAAACGTTCGTCAGGCTTTTTATGGTAGTCCCCGCAATTTCCCAAAGGATTGTTAAAGTAGAGCTGGCCGAGCTGGAAAATCGAACTGTGGGTGCAGCCCTAAATGTCCCGCTGATGTTTTAGGTGGCGGCCGGCCACATTGCCCGACACGTGAACGACCGCTTTCAACCGTTTTATTGATCATAAGCGGAATTGCACGTCCGTCGGGCCTATTTTTGTGCTCTCTCTCTCTCTCTCTCTCTGGGGAGAAAGAACGTAAACGATTGCAGAGGGAGAAAAAATAATATACTGCAAGCGGCAGATTGGAGATGTCCAAATAATTGGAGAGAAAATTTTCTCGGTATCTATCACTCGCTTCAAACTTCTCGCTTCGAATTATCGATTCATTTTATTTCAACAATCGTATCGTATATCATTTAGTATTCATTTCTACATATTGATATTTAATTTCACTATATATTTCGAATTATATATTAGATTAAATATACAGGGTGTCAGATTCGATATGGACGACCCCAAAGATTATAGTAGATTGGGTTAAACTGAGAAGAAAAGTTATATAAAATTTTACAAAATCGTAATTATTATCGGCCTAATTCAGAGAA